GAGAGAGAGAGAGAGAGAGAAAGAAACTGAATTGAAAGATGATTAATTTTTCCCGGAAATTTTTGAAGCCTCCTTGTATGTTTTTTTTTTTTTATCCTCAAGGGCTTAGCCTCAAATTTGGTTTTTTAGCATCTCATTTTTTAAAAAGCCCAGTTATTTTAAGTACTTGGAATCCTGGTAACATTCAGCTGTAACCCAGAGGTTGGTGGTTTGAACATACCAATCACTCTGAGGCAAAAAGATTTAAACAGTCTGTTTCAATAAGGATAATAGCTCTGGAACTACTGCGGGGTCGTTTCTACCCTGTTCTACAGGGTTGCTGTGAATTGGAATCCACTCAACAGCAACATTCCGTTTAAACAATTAAGTTTCTGTTAATCGTTATTTATACCTTTGTATAATTTTATGTTCCCCTTAAATGTATAAGCATGAAATGTGCCTTTGCCTAAGGGTATGTTTAAAATGAATGACCCACATATATGGATGGTTAGAACCATTGACATTCTTCTTTGGGTTTCCTGTGGCCAACCAATATAGTTAACTATACTAAATAAGACTCATATATTTCCATTTGGAATTGTGACAAATTGATAAGACTACTGGTAAGCCTTTTACCAGTAAACACTTAAAATGATGATAAAATAACACTCTTTTGTAATATAAGATGAGCTCTTGCTGAGCAAAAAAGGGGAAGATGTCTGTGTGCCAGAAACAAAAAGTGAAGGGGAAATACAAGTGAATCAATCCCTTGGTGAATCTGCTCTGACCATGGACCAGGGATGTGAATGGCCTTGCTAACGTGCAGAATGCATTGGGAAGTTGATTGTTGCAGATGCAATTAGGTTAAAATTTAGCCAGCTATCTCCCTTATGATCCATTTAAATTTGCTCTAGTTTTTAATATTTTCTGCTTTCTTTTGTATTGAGGTTTTTATCTACTTTACTTTGTTATTCTTGTTAATTTTTGTTATAAAATATTTTCTTATAATGAAATCCGAAATAGGTAAATCTATAGACAGTAACTGGATTAATGGTTCCTTGGGAGTATGGCAGGGCAGATTGGGAGGAAATAGGTAGCTAATAACGGTGAGCACAAGAATAAAGAAACCATTCTAAAATTGAGGTGGTGATTTTGCAACTCTTCTTGATGTGACTGACCTATTGGATTGTGTGATATATGAATTATATGCCGATAAAACTATTGGGGGAAAAGAAAGAAAATATCCTCATCATCATAACCATTAATTCCACTGCTGTGGAGTTGAGTTTGACTTCACAGTGATCATATAGGGGAGAGCAGAACTGAGCCATAGGTTTCCAAGTCTGTTAAATTTGTATGGAAACAGACAGCTTGACCTTTATCCCATGGAGCTGCTGGTAAGTCTGAACCTCTGGTCTTGTGGTTAGAACCCAAACCTGAGCCCACTGTGCTAGCGGGACTTTAAGCCTTCATTAATTATTAGGAGGATGTAAATCAAAACTACAATGAGCTATCACTTCACCCCATTATAATAGCAAAGTATAAAACAGGGGGGAGGCAATAAATATTGATGAAGATGTATAGAATTTGAAGTTATCATCTACTGAAATGTAAAATTGTGCACCTACTGTTGAAAACAGTTTGGCACTTCCTCAGAAAGTTAAATATAGAATTAATTTGACCAGTAATTTCACTTTTGATATACTTAAAAGCAACTCAGACACATGTAGACCTATTCACCATAGCCACTTACGTGTTTTATCAACAGATAGATGGAGAAACAAAATGTAGTATATACATACAGTGAAATAATGCTGGACCATAAAGAGAGATAAACTCCTGATGTAGGCCGTGGATTAAACTTGGAAGCATTGTGCTGAATAAAATGAGCTACAAAAGACAAATATTGTATGATCCCACATACATGAAATGTCTAGAACAGGCAGATGTCTAGGGACCAAAGTTTTTACTGGTTGCTAGAAGTAGGAGAGTGAAGGAACAGAGAGGCGTCATTGTTTATGAAGTACCGAGTATGTGTTCATTGTGATGGGAAATTTGGCAATGGATACTATTGCTGGTTTCATGCCTGACCAATGTCGCCAGTGTCACTGAATTATACTTGTGAAAAATATTGGCTTGGCAATCGTTTCATGAAATATACCACAATACAAAAATTAGATCCTTTCTTTATCCAATGCCTGAAAATAAATCCTAGTTGAGTTAAGTTTGCATGTCCTTGGATTTGTTAGTTTCCCTTCAAATAATCTTTTCTCCAAAAATAAAGTATAATTTACAAGTGTATGTGGACACATATATTATAGCAGCAAAATATTGGAGACATTCTTAATATCCATACATAGGGGCGTAGTTAATTAAACTATCATTATCTATAGAAGAGGCAAGCAATTTATTTCTATAAAAGGACAGATAATAAATTTTTTAGACTAAATAAAGGTGGATATGATGTAGATACTTACATAGCAAGTTTCTAGAGTTTATTGCTGAAATTAAAAACATAATAATTGAATTTAATTTTTGTAGTATAAGTCTACTATTTAGAAGAATAAGATTCTTTTCAGGGAGAAAACCATTTATTGAGATGAAAAGTTAGTATATCCTATCATAAAAGCAATTGTAAACACTCTTCAGTCATGGACTGTCTTAAACAGGGGACAGGACAGATCTGACCCCAAAGCTGTAGCTTGTTGTCAGTCCCTGATTGTAGATGTATGCTACGCATCACTCAAAAATAATGCCGTAAATGTACATAGAAGGTGTTTTCATTCCTATTTTTACCCAAATTTCATAGGTATGGAAAATGATTAAATAGCTTTTCCTAAGTCAGCCAGTTTAATAGGTGATGAAACTGGAATTTGAACTGGGAGAGTCTATACTGTTCTACCTGTATGGATTCTGTTGTCTCAGACATGATGTGATTTATAGACAAATGAATATAGATGGTTGTGTCAATAAATCCCACAAACTGTTGTCCTGGGACAATCTTTAAACTTTAAGCTAAAACTATCCCTTGAAATGGACTTTTAACCCCAAATTAGCTTATTTTAATTGGTAAAGTATGTTCTCTTTGAGCATTCTGCTATTTCAAAGAATTATCTTTGTGAGATAGCATGTACCCAAGGACAAAGTTCAGAAAGGTTAGAAGGAGGCAAGGAAACGAGAAACACAAAGAAGAAATGGGATGGGATGTTTATGTGCATCGTGGGGATTACAATCAATGACATGAAACAAAACATGTGAATTGTTAAATGGAAAACTGATCTGCTCAGTAAACCATCATCCAATTCACAATGAAAAGGAAAAAAAGGAATTATCTATGTAAGGTCAAACTGACGATGGCAATTTGTAAGTTTTGATAAGAAGCGTTGAAGGCAGTGAGCTATGATAATTATGTGAGCTAAGGGGGAAGATATGAAAAGCGATAGCACAATGTGGAGGATGTCACCAATGCTCCTAAATTAAACCTCTAGACATTTGTTGAAATAGTGTATGGTGTGCTGTATCACCTCAGAATTGATAGCAACAAAGCAACAAATACTTGAGGGAGTCTGGAGAAATTGAACCCTCATATGCTACTGTAAACTGTAAAACAAAAACAATAGGGGATTTACTCAGACAATTGTAAATAGATACATACTATATACCCCAGCAATAGTGCTGTGTGCCATATACCATACAGAAATAAAGAGCATAACATGAACAGACAGATATATGCACAATCATGTTGTGGGAGTTAGATTTTACATTAACTGGCAGCTGTGTGAAAGCGTAGGACTGGGGTTTAACCTGTTAGTAGCCTGGTTTTGCTTCTTGGAGGTGTGGCCATTGTATAAGAGAGATACTGGAACTTTTCTCTCCCTTCACCTTTCTCTTTACTGGGACTTTGTGTTGCCTCAAGGGTAGGTTCCATGTGGGTCACCACCCTGGAGCATCTTGCCATGTTTCCATTGACCTGGGATCTTTGCAACTCTGCACCCATGGCCTGTAATCTTCCTGCTTCCCCTTTCACCCTTCTGCGTCCCTGTCCTGCAGCAATGCGAGTCTGAAGAGTGCTCTGTCTAGCATCAGAACCATGGACTTGAGTTGGACTGAGCTGTGATGCTGTTTTAGAGACAATAATTTCTTAATACAAATTACTTTTTTATTCATATATGAGTATCACTGATTTTGTTTCTTTAGCCAACCCAGCTCAACACACATGTTCATCTCAACACTGTTCACAGTAGCAAGAGGGTGGAAACAAAAGTCCATAGGTGGAAGAATGGATGAATAAACTTGCTGTATATTTACACATGAATAATGATGCAACTGTAAAACACTTCATGACATGAATGGATTTGGAAAACACTATGTTGAGTGAAGTTATGCAAACACAAAAGAACAAATATTGTATGGCATCATTGGCATTAAAAAATAAAAATTAAGGGAAGGTTTTCATACCAAAAGAAACAGACTTTGCTGGTTCCAAACGTGGGTGAAAGGTGAAGGGAGGCAAAGAGCAGCAATGGACTGACGGCTAGACAGGCTAACAAGGGTGAAGGGGAAGATATTGTATAAGAGGGAGATGGTGGAGCAGGGAAAGCCATGAGGAGGTTTGATTAGTTGTTTAAGTTGTTGAATACAAAAACAATGACCTGATATGTAAACCCTCACCTAATTAACAATAAAAGTTTACAGGAAAAATGGAATTATAAAGAAAAAGAATAATGATGAAGCTGAAACACTGTGACATAGATGGATTTGGAGGACTTCATGCTGAGTGAAGTTACTCATTTACAAAAGGAAATGTTTTATGGTTTGTTTTCTCATGTCTTGGTTTTCAGCACATCAGAGCAGAGTGACGATGATCCTGTTTGTCCTGGAGCTGGAGTGGGTGCTGAGCACGGGACAGGACAAGCAGTTTGCCTGGCACTGCTCGGAGAGTGGGCAGCACCTGGGAGGTTACCGCACCAGTGCAGTGGCCTCAGGCCTGCAGTATCCTTTGCTGGACAGAATTCCTTGATGGGAAACTTTGGTATTGACTTTCTTTTTTCTAATTTTAAAATCATTTTATTGAGGGCTCTTACAGATATCATTCCATTCCATAGTTTAGTCCTATCAATCAAGCCGTATTGTACCATTGCTACCACAATCAGTTTCAAAACATTTTCTTCTTGAACTCCTTGATATCAGCTCCCCTTTATCCCTTCCCTCCAGGAACCCTTATTTTTATTTATTTTTTGCCGTATCTTACACCTTCCAATATATCCATTCACATACAATTCTCATGTTCACTTCCTCAAGTGGGGTTATCCAGTCTTACAGGCTACCGGCTCCCTCTTTCCCCCTTTCCCTTCCCTCTCTTTCTCTGTCCTCAGGGAACCATTACTCCTGGCTTTCATGTGTTGAACGGTCTTAATTATACAAATGAACATACACAATTGACTGGCTTTCTTTTATTGACAGTTTTAGGTAAGTGCAATTGAAGGGTGTTGTTTCACTTTTATGTGTAATTAAACTGCTCATAGACTTTTTTCTAGTGGATAAGTCCTCGAGGGCACCCTGTGTAAGGTGTTGGGAAGTGAGGGGACTTCCCCTTGAAGTAACCCTGCTGCCTGGGCTGTGCCTGGGTGTCTTTGCACAGGGTATGATGTTTAGATGTGATACAGCCAAGATAGGTGAGCCTCAGCCAGCAGAGAGGATTAAGGGAATTGTGGAAAGTGCAGATAAAACGATCACTAAAATACAGTATTTTATTTTTATATAAAAATCTATACATAGTTACTAAGGTTTGAACCATCTCATTGGTGACTGGGAGAAGAACCATAGGATTCCTACTCATTTTACAGATAGTTACAGAGAGGCGATCATGCTAGGAGCAGAATGCATGGTAATGTTACAAACTTTGTTTCAGCAAGGAAACTTTTCCAGGGCATGCAAAGTGACACTCCTTCTTACCTTAATCCTTATCTCCAAGTTACTAGGGTACAGTGAATAAAAATACCCTATGGTATACTCAGATCCAACCCACTGGATCCCAGGATGTGCAATCCCTGACAGTTGTGAAATATGTGTCAGTAATACTGCTGTAAGTAGTAAAGAACCCTGGAACCTATGGGGTTAAAGAAGATAGACTGTATCTCCACCTTTTGGCAAATGGGGAAGTATGTGGAAACGCATCAATTGTCAGCAAAAAGCAATAAGATCTTTTTTTACAGCTATGGCAGTAGCATATGTGTAGTCTAATGTCCCTATTGACTTTTCTCACTTGAAGGGCCTTATTCTAGGCTAAATTTTCTAGAGAAACAAATATATATGAAAGAAGTTTATAAAGAAAGTTTTTAACAAGGGAGCAGCCAGCACAGTCTATTTCAAGTAAATGGGTCAGGTGCTAGCTAGAGCCCCATCTAGATTTATACAGCTCTCGACCAGTAGGTTAAAGATATTTTCAACTATAAGGGCACTTAGAAACCCCCCAAGTGAGCCAGTTGAACCTTAGAAAGGGTCCCTTGCCTATGTAAAGCCGCTCAGCCAGTGAGGAGCTAGTTGAACCTTAGAAAGGGTCCCTTGCCTATGTAAAGCCGCTTGGCCAGTGAGGAGCCAGTTGAACCTTAGAAAGGGTCCCTTGCCTATGTAAATCTGCTCTGCCAGTGAGTAGGAAAATCACCACATGGTCAACTCCATGCTGGGTACTGTCAACTAGGAAAAAAAACAAACATAGAAAGTGAAGGAATCTGAAGAAAGCCTGAGAATGGTGTCAGATACTATCAAGAGAAACAAGCTATATCTCAAGACCCAGAGCAAGAAGAAACAACAGGAATCTAAAGAGAACGTTGTATGAGAAATCATGGGGAAAGTTCTTGACCATCACAAAGGAGGGTAAAATAACAGTTCAATGAGCTGAGAGAACCTCAAATAGGATAGCCCCCCCCCCCCCAAAGAAAAACACTATGACATACCGTAGTCAACATCTCCAATTTCTAGGAAAGAATCCTGAGGGCAGGTAGAAAAAAAAGGAAGGTTTTCCTACAAAGGAAAACCAGTAAAGATATGCACTGACTTCTCAGCAGAAACTGTGCAGGCAAGAAGACAGTGGAGTAGCATATATACAATTCTGAAAGAAGAAAACTACCAATCAAGAATTCTGTATCCAACAATATTTGTTTGTTTGTTGGGGACCTTCTGATGCCTGTTACCCAAGCCCATTGACACCTCATGATCGCACAAGCTGATGTGCTTCTTCCATGTGGGCTTGTTGCTTTTCCACTAGATGGCCACTTGTTTAACCCACACACTGTATCTTTTGATAGCTGGACACCATCTGCTTTCTTCACCACATTTGCTATGCACCCACTTTGTCTTCAGTGATTGTGCCAGGAGGGTGAGCATCACAGAATGCCATATTGTTGAGAAAAAGGAGACTTGGATCAGAGACCCAAAACTCATGTGTAGACAATGGGATATCTCCTCACAGAAGGGTCACAAGGAAGGAATGAGTCAGCCAGGGCACAGTATAGCACCAATGAAACACACTATTCCTCTGGTTCTTTGAGGCTTCCTCACCCCCCACTATCATGACGCCAGTCCTGCCTTTCACTGTGGGCTAGACCAGAGCATGTATACAGGTACTGATAAAAGATAATAGCTCAGGATACATGGAATCCAAGAACAGGAATGGGAGTAGCGATACCAGGAAGGCAAGGAGAAGGTGGGGAGAGGAAGGGAGGAAGGGTGGACCCAATTATAATGATTAAACCCCCCCCCCCCACCGCCCCAAGGTGATGAACAACAGGAACTGTAGGGGAAGGAAGATAGCAGTTGGTGTACATATGAAAAAAATAATAAATTATAATTTATCAAGAGGTCACAAAGGTGGGAGGGAGGGAAAAAAGAGGAGCAGAGACCAAGGGCTCAAATAGAAAGTAAATGTTTAGGAAATAATCATGGCAACATGTGTACAAATATGCTTGATACAGTTGATATATAGATATAAGAGCTGTAAGAGCCCCAATAAAATGATCTTTAAATAAATAAATAAAAATAATTCAATATCTACTAAAATTATCACACAAGTATGAATGAGAAATAAATGTATTTCTAGACAAGGGAAAACTAAAGGAATTTGTTAAAACAAAGACCAGCCTAACCCTCCCCGCCCACCCAAAAAAGGGAAAACTAACTGGCATGTTATAGACAGAATCAACAGCAGCAGTAGACAAACCTGAGAGCATCATGCAGGACACCACCACCCAGAGACCAATACAGTGGAAGCAACATTCAAACACACACAGAAATTGAGAAGGAACAAAGACACCAATAAAAATGTAAAGAAGGAGCCAAGAAGAAACTGAACACAAACATAGCAAAATGACAGCAACAAACTTGCATATATCAGTAATGACAAGGTCAAATGAATTAATGCAACAATCAAAAGAGAGCACATGGGACCCATCTAAAGCTGTCTACAAGAGGCACACCTTAAACTCACACCTTAACCGCAAAACTAGACTGAAAACTCAAAAGATGGCCAAAGCTCTGCAAAGCCAATGGCAACAATAAAAAGGCAAAAGTGGCAATATTAATCTGACAAGATAATTTCAAAGTGAGTCACAGACAAGAAAGGACACTATATTATCATTAAAGGCATATAACACTGAGATCATAACTAGAACTCGAAACCAAACTCACTTTTATCAAATCGATTCCAAATCATAGTGAACCTATAGGACAGAGTAGAACTGCCTCTGTGAGTTATTGAGACTGTACCTCTCTACATGGATGGAAAGCCTCATCTTTCTCCCAAGGAGTGACTGGTGGTTTTTAACTGCTTGCCTTGTGATTAGCAGCCATTGTGTATCCACTATGCCACCAGGGCTCCTCATCAGGAAACTATAACCTCAATAAACATATACATACATATCCAATGAGAGACTCTCAAACTAAATTAGTCAAATTTCACAGACTTGTGAACATTTGGCAATCACAGTAGGAGACTTTAATGCATCACTCTCAATGGCAGACAAGTTATGAGGAAAGAACTCAATAAAGAAACAGAAGAGCTAGACACAAAATTAAGAAGCTCGACCTCCTACACATGTACAAAGCAATCAACCCAACAATAGCGCAGTATACATTCTGCTCCAGCACACACCGTATATAGTCTAGAGTAGACCATATGTTAGGACACAAAGCTTCTGAAAATAAAAAAATATTGATATCCACTCCTCCATTTTCTTGGTTCACAATGTTATAGACCTGGAAATGAGCAATAGAAATAACAGGAACATAAAGACAAACACATGGGGACTTAAAAACGTGTGGGTAACAGATCAAATAAAGTTGAAATTAAGAAATCCCTTGAAACAATGATAACACATCATACCAAACTATTAGGACTGAGCAAAAGCAGTTACCAGATGGTAATTTATAGCAATCAATTCACATACATGGAAAGAAATATATATATATAAATCCAAAATCAACACCTTAACATCTAACAACTAGAAGTAACATCTAACAACTAGAAGAAGGAAACAACATAAACCCCCCTAAAACAAGAAAAAAAATCTTTAAAAGTGTAGCAGAAATAAGTGAACTGGAAGACAAAAGCAATGAGAAAAATCAATAAGAATTTGGTTTTTTCAAAGTATTAGCAATTGACACACTGCTGGAAACCTCAAAAAAGAAAGAAACAAAAATCTAGAATTACTGATGAAAAGAGCGATATCACAACAGATCCAAATGAAATAAAAATAATAGTACTACGAAAGACTATATTCCAACAAGTTTGATAATCTAGACAAAATGGACAAATACTTAGAAATACACATCTACCCACATTAATGCACGTGACTATAAGAAACCTCAACAGACTCGTAACAAAAGAAGTAGAGAAAGTTAAACTTACATACAACAAAGAAAAGCTCAGGACCAGATGGCTTCACTCAAATTCTACCACCTTTGTTTGTTTTTTCTGCCACATAGTGAGATAAGAG